GATATAACACATTTTATAACAAAAAGCAGAAAAGATAAGTACAGTGCCGTAACACAAAAATAAAAAACATAAAGCAAGATGATAAAAATAAGACTATATACTCAGTTTTGACAAGAAATATTAGTCTTTTAAAGCACTTTCTTAAAAAGGCAAAGAGATTGAAATTTTTTAAAATAGAAGTTAACTATGTGCTACTTGTGAAAGATAAACCTAAAATATAGCAACACAAAGGTTAAAAATATGGGTATACATAGTTATTTCACAAAACTGCAAGCAAAAGAAAACAAAGGTGACTGTGTAAATAGCATTTTAAAAGAATTTAAGACAAAGAAACTTCAACCAGGATAGAAAAATATAATTTTATGTAAATAAGTGCTACAATTTATAGATAGATTGTATGTACAAGCATACTACTTATTAATCCTTATGTGTTAAATAACATAAAAATAAATGAATAAAAACTTCATTATAATAGGCAACTACTATATCACTATGACATTAAGAATTTACACAATTACGTGCATATATACATAGAAATTTTGTTCTCTGAAAGAAACTCTCTTGTTTTAGACATTCATGGATGATTTATTGAAATTGATTATATTAAGTAGTCCACCAAGAAATCTCCATAAATTTCAAAAAGTAGAAATAATTTTGTCCACATTTCTTGACCACAGTGTACAAAACTAGAATTAAAAACAAAATTCTCTTCTAATAATTATTGGATCAAAGAGGTAAGCAAATATATAACAGTTTTTCAGAAAAGGAGAACAATACTTATCAGATCATACAAGCTTTGCCTAAGTTATTCTTTAAAAGTAATTTCATACCTCTGTTTTCTTATTTTAGAAGAAGTCAATTAAATCATACAAATGAAAAGTTTAAAAAATACATCATATCCAAATCCAAAAGTATTCATTTAGAAAATATAATGAGGAATCATAATCAGAAAGGATACCATGCACAATGGCAATTAAAAAGACACCACAAAAACTATCTGTATGAGTAAAACAAAATTTTGAGACATCTAAGAGCATTTGAAAAAAGGTATTTTTTTGAAGTATTCTGTGTTCCTGATGGGCTTCCCTGGTGGCTCCTTGGCAGAGAATCTGCCTGCCACTGCAGGAGATGCAGGTTCGATCTCTGGGTTGGGAAGATTCCCCTGGGGGAGGAAATGGCAACCCACTTCAGTATTCTTGCCTGGGAAATCCAAGGGACAGTGGGACCTAGTGGACTACAGCCCATAGGGTTGCAAAGAGTTGGACACGACTAAGCGACTGAACAACAAAATGTCCCTGATAGGGAGACTAAATATTGTAAAAATATGGCTTAGTTTCTAATTTATTTTATCTTTAATTATTGGCATACTGGTAAATATCTAACAACTGACTCTTCAGAAACATATATACATATATATATATGTTTGCTATAAAATTATACATCTTACTATTTTACATTAACTATTCTACAGATGTAAAAGGTGAACAGCCCACAAATTACAAATAGTAACATACACAATACTGTTTATTACTGATTTCGTATAGCCAGTTGATTCTTACACAATGCTTTCATTAATTGACTTTTGCCAAACTCATAAATATAGCTGGTACTTTTGTCTTCTCCTGTGTGTACTCAAAGGAAAGATAAAATTGGTCAGTCTGCTATATTTATATTTACCAAAAAATAGAAGTAAAATTTAAAAAATTGAGGAATGAGTATAATTCCAATACAAATATATTTATATTAATGGGTAAGGCAAAAGTGAAAGAAAAAGGTGTGTGTCCAGATTTCACTCAGTCATTAATGATGTGACTACTTTGCTGAATCAGATAACAGTTTTCAAGTACTGAAAAGATGCTTGCTCAACATTTTTGTGCTATTCACAATGTTGCAGCTACAGACATGGCATGCCTTTTTTCAGTATGTTTTATGGAAGTATAGTTGATTTACATTGCTGTGTTAATTTCTGCTGTACAGTAAAGTGTACAGTTATACATATATTTCCACACATTCTTTTTAATATTCTTTTCCATTATGATTTGTCATTGGATATTGAATATAGTTCTCTGTGCTACACAGTAGGACCTTGCTGTTTATCCATTGCACATATAAACACTTACTTCTGCAAACCCCAACCTCTCACTCCATCCCTTCCCCTAACTCCATCCTTCTTGGCAACCACCTGTTTGTTCTTTTTTTTATTATTTTTTTTTCATTTATTTTTATTAGTTGGAGGCTAATTACTTCACAACATTGCAATGGGTTTTGTCATACATTGACATGAATCAGCCATGGAGTTACATGTATTCCCCATCCCGATCCCCCCTCCCACCTCCCTCTCCACCCGATTCCTTTGTCCTATGTCCATGATTCTGTTTCTGTTTCATAAGTAAGTTCATTGGTGTCATATTTTAGATTCCACACATATATGATATCATATGGTACTTGTCTTTCTTTTTCTGACTTACTTCATTTAGTATGACAATTTCTAGGTCATCCATGTTGCTGCAAATGGCATTATTTCATTCTTTTTTATGATTTTTTTATGATTTTCTATCATGTATGTATATACCACATCTTCATCCATGCTTCTGTTGAGGGACATTCAAGTTGTTTCCATTGTCTTGGCTATTGTGAATAGTGCTGCTATGAATATAGGGGTACATGTATCATTTTGAATTATAGTTTTGTCTGAATATATGCCCAGGAATGGATCATATGGTAATTCTATTTTTAGTTTTCTGAGGAATTTTCATATTTTTTCCCACAGTGGCTGCGCCAACTTGTATTCTCACTAAGAGTGTAAGAGTACATTTTTCTCCACACCCTATCCAGCATTTGTTATTTGTAGTCTTTTTAATCATGGCCATTCTAACACTTGTGAGTGAGGTGGTATCTCATTGTCATTTTGGTTTGCATTTCTCTAATAATTAGCAATGTTGAGCAGCTTTTCATGTGCCTATTTGCCGTTTGTATCTCTTCCTTAGAGAAATGCCTATTTAGGTCTCCGGCCAATTTTTCAGTTGGGTTGTTTGATTTTTTTGTTGTTGAGTTGAGCTGTCTGTACATTTTGGAAACTAGGCCCTGTCAGTGGCATCATTTCAAATCTTTTCTCCCATTCTATAGTTCGAAACATGACACACTTTTAATCTACTATATTGTTTTCTCAAATCTAAACAGTCAACAGAAAAATAAGCCAGGCCCTAATTTTGTATTATTTGCCATTTTCCATGCCATTTGGCTGATTTCAAGCTATCAGTGAGAGATCACTAAACATGGAGTTGGGAAGAGATGCACGGAGCACACTATTTTATAGTATTTTCACCACACAGATACAATAGACATAAATAACCTCAAGAACACAGATAATAGTAGTGTGTACAAAAACATTAGAAGATGATGAGTTTTTAGTACTACCTATATAAAAACTTTAGACATATAAGGAGATATCACACATCACTTGAGAAAAGTTTTATTCAGTAAATGATGCTGCAATAATTGGTTAGTTATTTAACAGCTCTTTTTTTAAATCACTGAAGTATAGTTAATTTATAATGTTAGACCCCAGTGTTATAGTATTAGATCCCAGTGTACGGCAAAGTGATTCAGCTATACATACATGTATACATATATATATATATATATACACACACACACACATATGTATATAATATATTCTTTTTCAGATTTTTTCCATTATAGGTTATTATAAGATATATAGTTCCCTGTGCTATACAGTAGGTCCTTGTTTTTTTATCTATTTTATATACAGTAGTATGTATATGCTAATCCCAGACTCTTAATTTATTTCTCCCCCTCCCCTGCTCCGCCCTGCTATCCCCAGGAGTTTGACACCTCTTGATGTGAAAAACAAATATTCTCAGCTCATGGACTGCACACAAACAGGCTTTGGGCCACATGGGTCGAACCTGTTAGATCGTTGCTTCATTTATCTACCAAAATAGATTCTAGCTTGATTATAAATTTAAAAACAAATCATAGAAGAAAAAAACGTATATCAAATGCCTGGAAGGAGGAAAACTCTCTATTTTTAAAAGACTCAGAAATTTCAAAGGAAAAATTTTGTAGATTTGACTGAATATAATGTGGCAAGTCAATTAATGAGATAAACAAATATGTCACCACCCTTTTCCTAGGCTTGCACATTTCCAGAAAATGGTTAGAAAAGATAAGGAAGAGTACTACCTAAAATTTTCTCTGTTTAAGCATCTCTGAATACCTCACTGTCATTTTGAAAAAGATTTAAAAATAGTTACATTCTCAAAAATGATTCACTCCTTCATAGGAGTTTGAAAAATGTTTTGAATCTCTCCCAATATGAGTATATACTCTTTCCTGATTAGTTTTTCCTTGGTGAAAATATGGAATAATTGAATGATGTAAATTTTGGATAAAGTTGAATATCCTGTCAGCTCTTAGTAATATATTCTTCTGTGCCTTCTCCTCCAAAGAAGTACTAGCTTGTCAACAGTCCATAGGTAAAAAAAACAGCAAATATTAGGTTTCCTGGAGGTGATGAGGGGGTCCCAGCAGGTAACCGGAGCATGCCAGTAGGGAACCTGGCACTGCAGAGTTCAGTCTGAGGAAGCAGGACATTGGGTTTCTGTTGTAAAGAAGTATGAACACTGGACTAGAATTGAGGGGCCAGGCTTCAAAGTCCAAGAATGAGGACCCCCAGAAAGAGACAGGCAGAGCTGTCTCTTAACTCAAGCTATATGGGCAAATTCCTACAAGAGTGACACCAAAACACCAGCCAAGGCAAAGGATCAGTTAATTGTGCAATGGGTACCCACCAGGAAGGGAGCGCATCAGCACTTGAAAGCAGTGGGACTTGAAAGCAGTCTCCTGTTATCAGGATAGGGGTGCCACAGCCAGGGAGTGTTAGTAAAAGGAGCACTGCCTTTGGGTGATACTGCAGCAACTCAGGGCCTAGAGGAGCATAACTAGTTTCAGGGTAATACAGATAACACAAGCATTACCTTGGCAGGAGTCTCATTGTCCTGTTGGTGATAACTGTGTTAGATAGATTGAGGTACAGGACTCCAGGGCAGCTCTCAGAGATGTATCTCATTGATTCATCCTGCATAACAATAGAGGGAAGAATCTTATCAAAGTCTAACAGGCTTTGCTATTTCCCCACTATCTATCATCTCTCTTCCTGCCCCCACAAAAGTATTTGCAAGCCTTGGTCTCTTCATACTCTTTATTAGTTATAAATCAAATTAAGTAGAAGGTTGCTTTGCTTGCAACTTCATTACTCCCTCCCCTTCCCTTTCTTTGGGCTTCCCTGGTGGCTCAGAGGGTAAAGCGTCTGCTTATAATGCAGGAGACCTGGGTTCGATCCCTGGGTTGGGAAGATCCCCTGGAGAAGGAAATGGCAACCCACTCCAGTACTCTTACCTGGAAAATTCCATGGAGGGAGGAACATTGTAGGCTACAGTCCATGGGGTCCCAAAGAGTCAGACATGACTGAGCAACTTCACTGTTCCCTTTCTTTGGAAATAAAGTCCCATTCCATCACAATGACACTTTATTAAAATTTGAACCCTTGCCATTTCAGCTCTATGACAGGAAATTTGAGCTTGTGTCAAAGTGTCAAACAGTCTTGACTCTTTAGATATATGAAAATGATTGAGGGAGGGGGGATCGGGATGGGGAACACATGTAAATCCATGGCTGATTCATGTCAGTGTATGGCAAAAACCACTACAATATTGTAAAGTAATTAGCCTCCAACTAATAAAAATAAATGGAAAAAAAAAATAAACACATTCTTGGAAAAAAAGAAAAAGTAAATGATTGAAAAGGGACCCATTTTTAAACTTTAAAATCATTCTGAAAGACAGGAGTAGTAAACTGTTTCAACTGGACTTCATTAAAAAGTGAGTCCATATTTATACACAGATATATATATATATATATATATATATATATATATAGAGAGAGAGAGAGAGAGAATGTGTGTGGTGAAGTTTCTGTGGTTCCATTACTGAATATTTAAAACAGCTGAACAGATTTTCACCAAACTTATTATAAGTTTGAGATGGGTTGAATTATAGGCTGCATACATGTTGAACATGAAATTTAGTGTCAGGAAAACTGTGCAGGAGAATCTTAAAGATTCAGTCAGCCCTCCTCCAGAGAGCTGAAAACCAGAACAAGAGAACAATATGACTGCAACATAAGACAGAAAAACAGAATGATTTCAATCATGAGCCCTAAACTCAGGTTTACAAGATAGATGAATTGCAAGCTTGGATTGCAATGGTGCTGCTTCATGTGTGGGTAACTATTTGTAAAATGTCCTAGAATGAGTAGCAGCAGGTTTGTGTTTATTTAATGATGGTGGATGAGTCTCCCCAGGAATACTGAAGAGGTCTGCTAGTTTTAAATATCTGTGGTACATTGTCCTAGAAATAGGCCATTACAGGAAGAGGTAAACTGTCACTAGGCTAGCTGATGTGGTTTGGGGAGGTATTCTGCATGGTCAGTATGGCTGCCCCCAACAGCACAAAGGATGGCAAATGTTTAGTTTCAGCCAGACTATCGGTGCTTAATATTCTATTCCTAGCTACTTCTTGGAATCATGAATATTAAAATAGCAAAATCCTACAGGTCAAAGCATCTTGCACATGGGATAAGAATTGGTTGATTTAAGGTGCAAACCATACCTTAAAGAGAACATAAGGGTTTTTTTAAGGTATAAAACTGTAGTTCTGCTGTAGAAAAGAGTCTGTGTGTCAATAATGCCTGAGAACAAGTACAGGGCTTTTAATAAACACTGTATTCTTGCCACTGCATTCAAGATGCCAGCAAGTTTTCTAGACATTCCATCAATAGAAATGTAGGATTTGGATATACATGTATAGATTTTAAAAAGTAAACAGTACACTTTTCCCCAACAGGAATGGAGAGAACAAGCATAATGTGTGGCATTATAGTTTAATACAAAGAATCTATCTTCAAAAATATTCATGCTGTCAATCAACTATTGAAGTGACTATGCACCTGTTGGAAGATTCCGGCAAAAATGCAGATGAAATGGGACATGGAGGAGGAGAGAAAGCTGGTTTACACCCTTAGAGTTGTAGTCACACAGATGTAACTGTGGGAACCAGCAAGAGGAAGATGTAGTAGGCTTTCTGTAGCATGGAATAATCCAATATTCCTTTGAGATGAGGAAGCAAACAATTCTCTTCATTTTCCTGTCTGAAGGAGATTCAAACTAATTTTGTTTTCAATATTTAAAAGAACAAAAGAACTCAAGTTGCAATCCCCAGATACTTGAGCACATAAAATGCAAAAACTGTTTCTGTGTTTAACACTGCAAGATGGTCTGTGGAATTTGTCCACAATGCACTCGAATCTTTCTGGATGTAATATATTCATAAGGCAAGCTTCTTAAAAATCAAACCTTTTTGAGTGAATGTTACTCAACTCCTTAAATGTAAGCCTGTCTCTTAGTCTTTGTCTCAAAAGGAAAGACAATAGTAAAATGTAGCTGGATAAAATTATCAGCTCTGTATATTGTTAGACTAAAACTGGAAAAAAGACTTTGATGTTCACAAATTCAACACAGATGGCATTGTTTTGACTTTCCTATTAGAAAGCCAAATTTACAGAATATGATCTTTTTTTCAAGCAGGAACTAAAACTCCCTGAGGGCAAGAATTGGAACCTAATTAATCTTAAATTCCCTATAACACCTCTATTTTATAACATATAGGTTCCCTATATATAGTGTATCTTTAACACAGTAGGTACTAAAAATATGCACATCAAGAATGAAGTAGAGTAGAAATCTGAAAGAAGAAACTGTAATGATGAGGCTGGGTAGATAGCAAGAAGGAGCCAATTCATGAAGTCTTTTCACCTGTGCCAAGGTGCATGGACTTCAGTCTGGAACTGGTGATTTATGAGGCGCACGAAGCAATCAGGCTCTTCATTCTGTCCCTCCTATCTCCAAGTGAAGAGCACAGCCTGTGCATAGGCGGAACAGCAGGAGGAGCTTGGCGCACGCAGCGAAGAAAACACAGCAGGTTGTGGCTGCTGTAACTTAATGTGCAGCAGGATTTAGAAGATGAGACTGGAGAGGGAGGCAGAGGCAAGCTCACCGAGGGTCTCCGGAGTACACTGACTTTATCCAATAGTGTGGATGACAGGCATTTGTATAAATGGTGGAAGATAGTAGTGAAATGGTCAGATCTGCCTTCTAGAAGGAATATTCTGTGGTCACGCAGTGGAAGACAGATTGAAAGAGAGGATAGCCTGGAGACAGGGCCAGGAAGGAGCTGACTAGGGCCATGTGTTCATTTCCCTCCTCTTGGGCACCACAGCTGACAGCCAGGAAGACTGATAAATTGAGCCTGTTGTCTCTGCTGGAGCCCATATTTTTCTGTCCCATACACACGTGACCTTAAACATAAATGTAGTTCATTTTTGTGTTATTGTTGAATAGTTTTCACTTTCCCGAGATTCCAACCTTGGGCATATCTATAGGATAAATAATAGCATTATATAAATTGGACAAAATTTCTTGGCAATGTTTAACATAGTTTGCTTTCTCCATATTTAATATAAATGAGCACACAGGCATGTATTTTGGCAGAACCTCTGTGTTATTAGTACTCTAGTGGAGTAAGTCTGAATCCATATAAACAACAGTAAAATAAGCTTCTTATACTCACTGTGAGTGTTGGACAGTCAGAGACATTCAGCTCTTGCAGGTTTTTACAGAGACCTAAATCAAACAAGTTACATATTGCTATACAACATATTACAAATATTTAAACTTAAAGTTTTTCCACCCTACATTCAATGCTGTGTATTCATTAGAAAGCAAACCAAAACCCCTGGTAAGTAACTTGTTCTAAGTATATGGTTCCTTTCCTAGAAAAATGATTTCTTTGGACTTTAAATTAAAATATTCTTATTATTGTTTGAGGATTACAAAAGGAAAGGGGATGAGAGAAAAATACTACTTTGGAGGGAAAACTGTATATACTTAGAGCTTTTTAGCTTTGAAGCATTTGAAAAAAACCAATTTGTTTTTTTTGTGGTGTGACATTTTTGTTAATTTGGGAGGTTGTGTTTCCTTTTAACATTATGAAATTTTTCAAACATACAAAGAAGGTTGAGAGAATTGATGGATTATACAATGAATATACTCATCACCCATATTCTACAATTCATATTTTACTATATTTGCTTGATCACATACCCACCTGTACATCTCTCTCTGTATCCCTCAATCCATCTTACTTTCTTATGCATTTTAAGTAAGTTGCAGACATCGGGACACTTCCCCCCAGCAAATACTTCAGCGTGAATGTCATGAATAATTCAGCACGCACAGTAATTGGCAGAATGTTTATATTTTAGGTTAGATATCCATAAAGTTTACAAAGAATTTTAGATTGACATGAGGAGATTCAGAAAGGCCAAGTGCCTGATGAGTTCCGGGACCAGAGACACCTGCCCAGCTTGTGATCTAGAAGGGAAATCAAGACATGTGTGCAAAGAGCTAGACAGCAAAGTGTTACACAATCAGCTTTCTGGGTCTAGACTGGCATGAGTAAGACTCCAAATCTGAGACAGAAGAGAAACAGTGAGGGAACACAAAACAGTGAAGGGGAGGAATGCTTGGGGCAGAGAGGCATTCTAAATGGAGGAGACCACTACAGTCAGGAAAACTCCAGGCAAGGGGTGATCCTGGCATTCACACTGAGACAATGAATAGAAAACACATCTGTTGCTTGTAACCTCAGAGCTCCATGATAATAACAACAGAAATGTTATTAATCATAAATCCATTTTGAACATTTCTTCCTCCTTACAACTATGTCCTAAGTAATACGTGCAAACCAGAACCAATTTCAGAATTTTAAAAATGAAAAAAATTCTTTAAAATGTGCAGATTTTGGAAGTCATCAGTAATACTGAAGGGAAAAATAGATTCCAAAAAGATAACTAAATTTGAGGTTATTTATATTTTAAATAGCAGTTACTTGAATTCATGCAATTCAACAAACATTTACCAAGAACCTGCTATGTGCTAGAAACTCTGCAGGTGCTGGAAATACAGCAGTGAACAAAATAGAGAAAAATTCCTGTCCTTAGTAAGTTTATATCCTAGTTGGGGAAGAAGGACAATAAACAAAAGAGGCAAAATACTTATTTTGACAGATGGTGATACGTGCTCTGGAGAGAAATAAAACAAGAAATGGATTAGAGAATCACCAGTGAGTGGGAAGGGGTGCTACTTTAAATAGAGCCACCAGAAAAGATTTTGCTGAGAAGGTGACATTTGAACCAAGATGTGCAGGAGATGGCAAGGACAGTTGCAATTTACCCTGAGCATTTCTAGAGCCCACATGCAACATGATTGGTGATTGGAAGACGGCAAAGGAAAGAAAAAAATAAGTCCAGCAGAACATCCATTGGAGTCCTACTCTTGTTTGCACATCTCAAAGCTATAAGAAGAATCCTTTTAATTTCTTGAATCCAGTTTCAGTTTTCATAATGCTAAGTCCTAACAGTTTAACTGAGTTCTTCCCCTGGACCAGGAACTGTGAAGTATTCAATGCAGTGAGCCTGTTTCATCTTCCCCCAAAATACTAGAGGTATCATCAGTCCCTCTTCACAGATGCTGAAGATGAGATTAAGTAATTAGCCTGAGATCACACAGTTAAGCAAGTAGAAGAGCCTTGATTCACATTCAGAGCCCAAACATTTAGCCATGAAACCAGGCAAGTAGGAGGGCCTGGAGCTTTGTACACCACTTTCTACATGTACCTTTATTATAATAATTGGAATGCCTGTGCCTTAAAATAAAAAATAACTTGAGTTCCATGTCTCTTGGTTTAGAGTTTATGGGCACTTGAATAGAATTTGTATCCTGCTGTTACGTGAAAATTGTATAAATCTTGATTATGTTGAATTCGTTCATTTCCTTCTACTTTTCTGTCTATTAATTTTTGAGAGTTTGATATTGAAACCCCAAGTAAAAAATCTTAATTTGCCTACTTAAAAATAATTGTAATATATAGTGGAACTATATGTAACTTTGCTCTGTATTTTCTAAGTCTCCTGTAAATAAATGTGTTATCATACTTCCATAATTTATAAGAAAAAAAACTTGAAAATTTGATTTTATTCGTCAGTTTCAATGTTCACAAAAGTCTCTCTTTTTTTTCCTTTTGCAATCTAGGGGCTGCCGTACCTCAGCTGGATCTCATTCTTCCTGAACTGCTTTAGTTAAGATTACCCAAACTTGGATTTCAAAGGAATACTTTCATTGTTCCATCTGTCACACCAAGTAATTGGGACCAGCTGGATGTCAGGATGCGGGTGGTGACCGTCGTAATCCTACTTTTCTTTTGTAAAGTCGCTGAGCTCCGCAAGGCAAGCCCCGGGGGTGCAAGAAACCGAGTGAACCATGGCCGGGCTGGTGGGAGCCGGAAAAACTCCAACCCGGTCAAACGCTATGCACCAGGCCTCCCCTGTGAAGTGTACACGTACCTTCACGAAAAATACTTAGATTGTCAAGAAAGAAAACTAGTTTATGTGCTGCCCGACTGGCCTCAGGATTTGCTGCACATGCTGTTAGCAAGAAACAAAATCCGCATACTGAAGAACAGCATGTTTTCCAAGTTTAAAAAGCTGAAAAGCTTGGATCTGCAACAGAATGAGATCTCTAAAATTGAGAGTGAGGCTTTCTTCGGTTTAAATAAACTCACCACTCTCTTACTGCAGCACAACCAGATCAAAGTCTTGACAGAGGAAGTGTTCATTTATACACCTCTCCTGAGCTACCTGCGTCTTTATGACAACCCCTGGCATTGTACTTGTGAGATGGAAACGCTTATTTCAATGCTGCAGATTCCAAGGAACCGGAATTTGGGTAACTATGCCAAGTGTGAAAGCCCACAAGAACTGAAAAATAAAAAACTGAAGCAGATAAAATCTGAACAGTTATGTAATGAAGAAGAAAATGAACAATTGGTTCCGAAACCCCATTTGTCAGGAAAACCCCCAGTCATCAAGATTGAGGTGGACTCTTCCCTTTGCCACAACTACGTATTTCCCATACAGACACTGGACTGCAGAAGAAAAGGTTTGTAAGTTGGTTACTTTTTCATTTTTGTGGATGATTAAAATTGCTTTTTGAATATTATGAATCCCTGCACCCCCACCCCCACACCCCACCCCGTGACTTAGAATTTCTGGTGTCATTTCCACCATGGGAGATTTTAGTGAGGCTCTTGACATATTAGTGAAGACACTCTCAAAGTATAGTCTGAGCACTGTTAATCTACCCTAGGACAACAAACAATTTTGTTGTCTCTTTCATTTCTGGCATGGGTTAATAACTTATTTGTAATATTAAATTAAAGCCAGATGTCATTGGATTAGCGTCATATAGAACACGGTATTATTCCTTCCAATTACTGTAAGGGTTTTTTTTTTTAAGAACAGAAAGGAAAGGTTAAGATGAACCAAGAGACTCCAACACATCTCAAAGAAATTATAGACAGGAATCTGTTAATGTTGAAGAAACAGAAGTCACTTTGTTGATTTATCAGCGAAGTCATGCACAAGGCTTGCCCCCCTCACTCTGAGTGTGGAAGATGGCACGTGGTTAGATCACACCATGACCATACGACACCAGAAGATTCGCTTACTATGACACTCTGTGAATTTTGATGCTTAAAGTAGAGCAATTACAGCATTGTAAGCTGGGAGATGCCGTCCTGGGATCCTCTAAGTTTGAGAGATAAGTGCTCATTAATTGAGAACCTACTGTGCTCCAGGTATTCCGCATACATGCTGTCCACAGATGCCAGCAAGGTAGTAGTAGTATCCCATCTGTAGAGGGGAGGAGGAGGAGCAAGAGGCTAAGGGATGTTCAGACACTTGCTGTGGTCTCACAGGTGAGCAGCAAAGCTAAGTACACCTGAGCCTGCTGGCATCCAGAATTAATCCAATCATGTTCAAACAAGCTCCTGAGCAAGGGAAGCATTAAAGAATTCGAGGAAAGTCAGTACACATAGTTTCTCTGTATCCAGATCAGGTGGAATTTCCCTAACACTGTTACAGTGAGTACTGGGTGCTTCATGCCAAAGCACCACATGTTTTACTAGGATTTTCTTTGTAATGCTTAAAAACTTGAATTATATATTTTACAAAACTATTACAAAGCTACTATTCCTAGACTTGAGTTAGAAAATTACTTGATATTGCTGAGGTTCTATCCTTAAGCTAAAGTTTATTTGTACTTGCTATACCAGAGAAAATAGAGTTAAACTCATTATCTGAGAAAAAATGCCATCAAAACAAAATTGAAGATTTCTACAACTAGACCACTCTGTAATTTAAGAAAAGATAACATAGTAGGAAAGAACTTTCTTTTTTACTGTTTTTCTACCCTTGGGCCATTCCCTCTCCAGTGAGTCTATTTCTGCCTTTGTCTTTGTTTCCATAATATTTTTGTCTCTTGCCAAAAATCAACTTAGAAAAATGCAAATTTATTTTTATTGCTTTCCTTCCTTAAGTTATTGTTATCTAAACACAACCTTTCAGATATGCCCCATAAACTCATTACCCTTGCTTTAGAAACACATATTATTTGCTGGAAAGCAAAGTTTCATGACACACACAATTAGTACATATCATTCAGGCTCATACACTAAAGGACAACTTAAGCTCCTCCACTTATTAATAATGCTGTAAATCAGAGCCTATACTTTTTAGATTATAAAATGAAGGGTAGTTTTGTCTTTTAATATCAATATAAATCTCTCTCAATATGGTTGATATCACTCTATTGATTCAGCTGGTCATTTACTTTTCATTTTTTATTATATTGTTGATTCCCATAAGTTTAAAGTCAAAGATCTTGTCTTTTAAATTCCCTTTGGTACTGCCTGGCACAGGGCCATGTTCTTTAGATTGATGGCAATAATTGAGCTGCTTCCTTTGCTCTTACAAGGCAGTAATTTAAGCAACTTTTAAAAATAAAAATACATAGAAATTAAAAATCATGACTAGAATTCAAGTATGACAATCTGGAATTTTATTCATTATAGTTTTCCTTATTGCATTCTACAATAGATAATAAATGTCAACTACTAAGAATGAATGTTCAGCACTGTTCATCTCTTAACTCTCTGCCAGAGTATAGTAATATTTTTGATTGTGCTCCACATGTTGGACACCATGTAGGATCTCATTTTTTTTTTTTTTAAGTTGCTCAGTTGTGTCCAACTCTTTGCAGCCCCATGGACCATAACCTGCCAGGCTCCTCTGTCTGTGGAATTCTCCAGGCAAGAATACTGGAGTGGGAAGCTGTTCCCTTCCCCAGGGGATCTTCCCAACCCAGGGATTGAACCCAGGTCTCCCACACTGCAGGCAGACGCTTTACCACCTGAGCCACCAGGGAGGCCCTAAAGAAGTCAAGAGTGGAACTAGCAGTGATATTAATGAGAAGACGTGTTAGTCGCTCAGTCGTGTCTGACTGTTTACAGCCCCATGAACTGTAGCCCACCAGGCTCTTCTGTCCATGGAATTCTCCAGGCAAGAATACTCTAGTGGGTAGCCATTTCCTTCTCCAGGGGATCTTCCCAAACCAGGGGTCAAACCCAGGTCTTCTGCATTGCTGGCAGATTCTTTACCATCTGAGCCACCAGGGAAGCCCACATTAATGAGAACTGGCATCTAAAGGCTGTGTGTGCCTAAGATATAGCAGTTTTATGCATCGTCATTTAATCCTTGGGGCTTCCCCAGTGGTTCAGTAGTAAAGAATCCACCTGCAATGCAGGAGACCTGGTTTCTGTCCCTGGGTCAGGAAGATTCTCTGGAGGAGGGCATGGAAACCCATTCCAGTATTCTTGCCTGGAAAATCCCATGGACAGAGGAGCCTGGTGGGCTACAGTTCATGGGGTTGTAAACAGTCATAACAAGAAAAAGAAATAATAGCTGTATTCACTGGAGACAGGCACTTTGCCAACAAAACTTAGTCTTTCAAAGGGAATAAATGTGAAATTAGTTGAAAGGCATATTTATGCCTTATTGAGATGGATGGATTTAACAAAAATACATGAAAGTAAGTTTTAAAACTTTTTAGCTTCACACTTACCAGAATAATTTGCCATTTTAAAGGATTCATTTTCCTGCTAAGATTAGGGCTGGGGAGAATTATGACCAAAAATTGCTCTCAGCTGCCTCCGAAGTTAATTTCACTATTAGTTTGAAGAGTAATTAGGAATCTTTAATTGGCAATAGACAAAGTCATTTATGTCTCTCTACCTACCACTACACCAAACCTTCAGAGTAGTTCTGACATTGCTGACAATCAAGATAGCCTACTAAATGGGAAATTACATGGAAAAAATCCCAGTTTCCTCCTCAAAATCAGCAAAGTTTGGTGAGGGGAGAGGCAATGCTTGTCAGGGGTGATAATCAAGTAAATTTGGTATTTATTGAAAGTTTACCAAAATTATTGGATAGCAGCAAATAACTACGTGGTGCCTGGTCTGGAAATGGGGGCATTGACCAAATTTGACTTCTGGTCTCAGGACATTTATATTTATATAATCTTTATCAAAGCCAACCATATTTCACATCAATATTTGCAATTGTCATTTAAGTTTAAGGTTAAAAACAAAGGACTGTTTTTACTCATCAGTACAACAAATAAGATTTTTCCATGTGTTCTAAGCCTACTGGTAGAGGCTTTGGTTTGCCTTTACTGGTATTACTTGTGGATCCTATTTTTACCCAGGGCTGCTGGTAACAATGCCAAAGTTGGTTCTGCAATTCATATTCCTCTTCCACAGGTCTACCACAGTGGTTAAGCTGGGTTTCAGGGTGTTCTCATAAACATTTTTTCTACCCATTTATTTGTGGTAAACCCACTTTAGCTTGTTCTACAGTGGTTGCTTGGAAGGCCTCTTGTCATTCACTCTCATGTCCAACCCAGCAGATGTTGGTTCAGCAAGCAAATCCTGATAAATAGGCTGCTTTCCAGAGCCTAGAAGATACTAACTCTGCTGGCAAGGAAGACCTCAGCCCTTAATGGCTTTGTTAGGGTTTTGGTGAGGACTTGGGCTTTTATTCATAGTGATGTGAGAAACAAAGGATCCTGCCATCTGGAAGATGGCAATCCATCTGGTAAAATGACAGATCTGACTTATGTTTTAAAGTCACGTGGACTTAGGACAATATTGGGATAATCCAGACAAGAAGTGATGGTGGCTTAGACCAATGTGGTCACAGTGAGGGAAGAGAGGGGAGGTGGGATCCTGGGTATTTTGAAATGAAACTTTATTCCTCTTTTAAAAATCTGAGAAAATGCCACAACCATTCATTGTCAGTAATTATTCTAAATGCTAAATGTCAAGAAATTATTTCTTCTGCCTGCCCTCAAGTATTCTCTGTGGTTTTCAGTTCTTCCTAGGATCTCCATCTCCTTGTTTACATGGAGTATGTAGGAGGGAATGTAGCTCTCCATTAAGGGTCTTGCTGGTCCTAAAGGAGGATATTACCTCAGTGTTCCATTATAATAAATTCAAATCTTAAAATCTTTCACATTTTTATGTGTTGGCAGACACAGCTCTAGGTCAAACAAGACAGTATCTTATCAGAGGATGGAAATAAAGTCAATCCAAATTTTCAAAGCACTTTTACTATAAGAGGGCTCAATATTCTTATGGCTTCCCTGGTGGCTCAGATGGTAAAGAATCTGTCTGCAATGCGGGAGACCTAGGTTCGATCCCTGGGTTGGGAAGATTCCCATGGAGAAGACAATGGCAACTCACTCCAGTATTCTTGCCTAGAGAATTCCATGGATGAAAAGCCTGGTGGGTTACAGCCCATAGGGTCGCAAAGAGTAGGACATGATTGAGTGACTAACACTTTCACTTTCATACTTTCAATATTGCTGAATCATTTTGGGTTTCAAAATCACTGCAGATAGTGACTGCAGCCATGAAATTAAAAGACACTTGCTCCTTGGAAAAAAGCTATGGCCAACCTAGACAGCATATTAAAAAGCAGAGACATTACTTTGCCAACAAAGGTCTGTATCATCAAAGCTATGATTTTTCCAATAGTCATGTATGGATGTGAAAGTTGGACTATAAAGAAAGCTGAGCACCAAAGAATTGATGCTTTTGAACTGTGGTGTTGAAGAAGACTCTTGAGAGTCCCTTGGACTGCAAGGAGATACAACCAGTCCATCCTCAAGGAAATCAGTCCTGAATATTCATTGGAAGGCCTGATGCTGAAGCTGAAGTTCCAATACTTTGGCCACCTGATGTGAAGAGCTGACTCATTTGAAAAGACCCTGATGCTGGGAAAGTTTGAAGGCAGGAGGAAAAGGGGACGACAGAGGATGAGATGGTTGGATGGCATCACTGACTCAATGGACATGAGTTTGAGCAAGCTTCAGGAGTTGATGACGGACAGGGAAGCCTGGCATGCTGTAGTCTATGGGGTCGCAAAGAGTCGAACACTACTGAGCAACTGAACTGAAACTCAACATATTTAACGAGCTCATTATTTCCCATGTGTTATTAGATAACTTTGTTGCTGCCTAAAAACGACCCCAAACCCTAGCAGCTTAAAACAACAAACTTTGTTATCTCACAGTTTCTGTAGGTCAGGAAGCCAGACGTGGGTTGGCTAAATCCACTGGTTCAGGATCTCTCACGAGGCTGCAATAAGGTATTGACCAGGGCTTGGTGCTGTGGTCTCAACTGAAGGCTCAACTGGAAAAGTATCTTCTTCCAAGTTCATATGGCTTGGCAGGATTCAGTTCCATAAGGACTGAAGGCCTGAGTTCCTTGCTGGCTGTCAGCCAGAGGCCACCCTTAATTACTTGCCATGTAAGCCTCTCCAACATGGCACCTTGCTTCATCAAAGCCACCAAAAAAGAGTCTGCTAGCCTGGCAGAAGTCACAATTACTTATAACCTAATTATGAAAGTGACATCCTATCATATTTGCTACATTCTACTGTTAGAAGTAAGTTACTAAGTTTAGCCCATACTTAGGGAGAAGAGTTTACACAAGAACATGAATATCGGTAGAGGGATTGTTGGGTGCCGTTTTAGAAGCTGGCTTATTTATTTGTGATATATTAGACATTGTTCTAAACCTCCTACATGAAGCTTTCATGGCTAGGAGGGTACAAAAATGAAAAATCAGTAAGATGTACACTGTGTCTGATATTGCTATCTACTGTTGAAAAAAAGGGAAATGTTTTATTACTGTTGTCTGCTTGAAAGCAGAGAGATGTCATTTTAAATACAGAGCCAGAAGGGTCTTATAGCCGTCCCAATATATTGTTTCCACCCCTGTTGCTGCCCAACCCTCACTTTACCCTACATACGCCAGGTTTGAGGATTCTAGGCAGATGGCAGCATAAATGAGGCTGGAAGGTACCATGACTAGACAGCAGAGCATAGCAGTTAGAAGCATAGGTTTGGGGGCTAGCATGTCTGTGTTTAAATCCTAGGTGTGTGACTATGAGCAAGTTGTGCCTCTACTTTATCTGTAAAATGAGGATAAATGTACATACTAGCTTATATGATTCTTGCACATAATACTTGTTAGAACACCTAGAAAAGTTCTTATGCAGAGATTTTAAGATACCAAGATCCCATCAAGATGAAAAAGCTAATTTAACAGTAATAAGGATACCAGAGAAGGAACCATTCCATTCACCATGGATTCTAAGCTGTTAAAAGAAGGGAGGAAATAAGACTGGATCTTTATGAAGGTAAACATACTATTAGTTAAGAAATCATATATACCAGAGGGTTTTAAAAAAATATTTGGAAGAAATTATCAGCAACTCAGTTATTCAGTAGCTAAAAGGGTATCATGGATAGATGTATACCACCTTTCATAAACTTTACCTAGTTCAAAGAATTTCTACATATTCAAGAAGTCTTTGTGTCATGCTACTTCTCAGGTATGAACTAATCTGCATATTTTATTTGTTGCTTCTAGTTTCTTTTGTCCGAACATGTTTGTTTCTCTTCACAGCTTCCACTTGCTCTACTTAGAATTGAGCAAAACCTCTTCAGAATATTTTGCTAAAGATTAAAATAAAGGGCAAGTATTATGCTAAAATATAAAATAAACACGCTTTATAGTTTTATAAAAGCATAATTTAAAGACAGATATAAATATGAAAGATAGGTGAACCTTAATCACCTGTTAACCTATGAAAACTGGACTCTTCTTACAGAGGCTTCTCTTGTAGCAGTAGTAGTGGTAGCATTATTACTGTTGCTGTTGTTGCTGAGGAGTCCAGTTACCGCAGTACCTCAGGAAGCGTTAGGGATGAGTGAGTGCAACTGAGTCACAAGGATTCAGGGAGTAAAGGGTGATCAGGAAGCAGGAGGAGCAAACGAGGACTATACTTTCTCAAATTTTCGCATCCAAGGAAAGGGGAAATAAGATGACAGCTTGAGGGTCATCAAGGTCAAGGGCTTTTGCTTCTTTTTTAGGATGGTCAAATCTGAGCTTATCTGTTGAGAGGGAGGCAATGAAGGTACCGCAGAGGCAGTAATCAGTAGTCAAAGCTCTTAGAGGAGTAGGAAGGGAATCAGAGGGGACACGCGCATGGAGTGGTTTGATTTGTAGGTTTTATTTTGTTTCAGCTTTCTATTTTTAAAAAGCTTTCCAGGTGATTCTAACAAACGGTTAGCCTTGAGCCCAGCTAGCCCACACTGCCTGTTGTCCTCCTCTTGATTTCTTGCCATCTCTAGGAAGTTTCTCAGAACGTTTCAGCAATGAGCGATATCTGCTCCTCTAAGTGAGATGCACTTAGGTTGCCGGGCTTTGGTGGAATTCAGTTGTATTCTCAGGCTTGTTCATTGGCTTTAGATGGGTTATCCCTTTTCCTTTCAAGAGCTGACTCTTTATCACATGAGTGATAGCGTCAGTGGGGTCAAGAGGAAAGCTTGGTAACCTGAACATGATTTTTTTTTTTCTAGAGTTGAAGAAAGTTCCAAACAACATTCCTCCAGATATTGTTAAACTTGACTTGTCACACAATAAAATCAACCAACTTCGACCCAAGGAGTTTGAAGATGTTCATGAGTTAAAGAAATTAAACCTCAGCAGCAATGGCATTCAATTCATAGATCCTGGTAAGTTCCACAAATACCCCCTTTAACAGGCCACAGGTATTCTCTGGCAACATTTATAGTAAATACAATTTAGTTTTTGAAAAACTAAAAAGAACTTTGAATTTAAATTAATATGATGCTTAAATTAGAACTTGCTTGGCAAGAAATATTTGCCAAATTGTTGCTTTATGAAGTATGTAATAGTGTATATTACTAAGCAACAGTTATTAATTGGTCAATTATTCAATTGGCCCAAAGAAGTGTTTTGTAGACTATATTTTAAAAATAAGAGTATGTGGCTAATAATATGCTACACATGTTGTGATTTTTTTAAAAGGAAATTCAGATTTGGCATTCTCTTTGCTATTCATTAAGTCCCAACTTGTTTAAAGTAAGACTTTAACAGTAAATTTGAAACATTCTACTAAGAATAAATTAAGTTCATAAAATTAAGCATGCTCATAAACTAAGATAAAATGTGCTCAACTTAGAGCCAGATAGATTTTAACCTAATCCTGGATCAAGATCAATTCTTTTTCATCCTTCAAATGTCTTCTCCATTTGCTAAGCAAAGCCTCTGATAAGAATGAACATGGTAAGTTAACACACTGAATTTAGAAAGAACTGAAAATGATTACAATGTTGATCAGGTTTGTAATGTACATAATATTTTTGTCTTCCTAATTGAGAAGCCCACTGTTTAAAAATGTGTATTAATGCATGTATGCTATTCTAAGTCACTTCAGTCATGTCCAACTCTTTGTGACCCTATGGACCATAGCCTGCCAGGCTTCTCTGTCCATGGACTTCTCCAGGCAAGAATACTGGAGGGGATTGCCATGCCCTTCTCCAGGGGATCTTCCTGACCCAGGGATAGAACCCAGGTCTCTTATGTCTCCTGCATTGGCAGGCAGGTTCTTTACCACTAGTGCCACCTTGGAATACTATTTTGTTGTTATCTTTCTTTTTTTTTAAATTAATTTTTTTTTAATTGAAGGATAATTGCTTTACAGAATTTTGTTGTTTTCTCTCAAACATCAACATGAATCAGCCATAGGTATACATATGTCTCCTCCCTCTTGAACCTCCCTCCCATCTCCCTCCCCATCCCACCCCTCTAGGTTGATACAGAGCCCCCATTTGAGTTCCCTGAGTTACACAGTAAATTCCCATTGGCTATTTATTTAACATGTGGTAGTGTAAGTTTCCATATACTCTCTCCTTACATCTCACTCTCCTCCCCTCCCACCCCATCTGTGTCCTTCAGTCTGTTCTCTATGTCTATTCCTCTATTACTGCCCTGCAAATAAATTAATTCATACCATCTTTCTAGATTCCACATGTATGTATTAGTATATGGTATTTATCTGTCTCTTTCTGACATACTTCACTCTATAATAGGCTCTAGGTTCATCCACCTCATTAGGCACACAAATGTGTGCCTTTTGTGACTAAGTAATATTCCATTGTATATATGTACCATAGCTTCTTTATCCATTCATCTGTCAATGAGCATCTAGGTTGCTTCCATGTCCTAGCTATTGTAAATAGTGCTGCAGTGAACTTTGAGGTAAATGTGTCTTTTTCAGTTTTGGTTTCCTCAGGGTATATGCCTAGTAGTGGGATTGCTGGGTCATATGGTGGCTTTATTCCTAGTTTTTTTAAGACTCTCCATACTGTCTTCCGTAGTGGCTGTTATCAATTTACATTCCCAACAGTGCAAGAGGGTTCCCTTTTCTCCATACTGTCTCCAGCGTTTGTTGTTCGTAGACTTTTTGATGATGACCATTCTGACTGGTGTGAGGCGATATCTTATTGTAGTTTTGATAAGCATTTCTCTGATAATGAGCGATGTTGAGCAATTTTCATGTGTCTGTTAGCCATTTGTTTGTCTTTGGTGAGATGTCAGTTTAGTTCTTTTAAAATTGAAGTATAGTTGATTTACAATATTGTGTTTCATTTGTACAGAAAAGTGATTCAATAATACATATATATTTTTTCAGGTTCTTTTCCATTATAAGTTATTACAAGATGTTGAATATAGTGACCTGTGCTACACAGGAAATCCTTGTTGTTTATTTTATATATAGTAGTGTATAGTTTCACTGACTTACTAACTCATTATTTTAATCTCTAAGCCCATCCACATGGCTGCAAATGGCAATATTTCATTCTGGCTGAGTAATACTCCATTGTATGTATATGTGTGTATATAGATAAGCATTCATCTATTGATAGACACTCAGGTTGCTTCCATGTCTTGGGTATTGCAAATAGTGCCTGCAGTGTTATCCTTTCCCCCTTTGTTCAACTCAATTTCAGAAAAGTATGATATTTTCTACATTAACAAATATGTACTGAGCATCTGGAAAATGTCAACCACTTTCCTTGGTAAATCTTCTGGAACAAAAAAGCATCTCAGAACTTTTAAGTGGTCATTTCAGGCTGGTCATTTAAGTCAAAATGATCTTTAAAACTTTTAAAATAAATACCTTCTATATTTCAGGGTTTTTGAGTTGAAACACTGCCAAAGCAAACTTACTTTAATGACATATGCTGGTAGGTATACAAATGCAGTGAAATATATAAATCTTTAAAAGGAAGTGTGAATAACAGTCTCATAAAATGCCAGATATTATTGCAGAAAAAGGAAAGAAGGCACCCCCCATTTTAGAGCCTACCTCCTTTAAGGAACAAATGAAAAGTAGCTTTCCAAAGTGCCCAAATACGTATGGTTTAAGTAACAACTTAAGCATTTTCAAAATAAAATATAGGAATGTTTACAGATGCTTTCAATCTGAAGGGCTAACTTCTGTTAAGAAAAGTAAACAGTGAGATGATTGACTCACAAATGTTAGCAATTTTTTTTGAATGCAGTCTTTTCAGAACTATCATTGCAAGGGCTGACCTTTTGCTCCTTCGCAGTAGCCTGCTCCTCACTCCCTCCTCCTCCCCACACCCAAGTCATTGCTTTGCACCAAAATATAATTCTTCGGGGGGCTTCCCTGGTAGTTCAGCTAGTAAATAATCCTCCTGCAATGCAGGAGATCCCGAGTTCAATTTCCTGGGTCGAGAAGATCCCCTGGAGAAGCGATAGGCTACCCACTCCAGTGTTCATGGTGTTCCCAGGTGGCTCAGAAGGTAAAGAATCCATCTGCAATGTGGGAGACTTGGGTTCAGTTCCTGGGTTGGGAAGATCCCCTGGAGGAGGGCATGGCAACCTACTCCAGTATTCTTTTTTTTTTTTTTCCTACTCCGGTATTCTTGCCTGGAGAATCCCCATGGACAGAGGAGCCTGGCAGGCTACAGTCCATGGGGTTGCAAAGAGTTGGACACAACTGAGCAGCTAAGCACACATGAATTTTGTCTGAGAACAAATGATATGAAAATGGTTAATGGTATTGGTTTGAGAGTGTATTTTTGAAATTCACCATAAGGACACCGTATACCCTAACCAAAAGTATTTTAAAACAGCAATGAGAAAACGTTTAAAATAGAAACAAAATATTTAAAATCAGGATTTGCCTGTTATAGCATACCTGGTCTATTCATATTAACTGAAAAAGGGATAATTTATGTTTTGATTTCTTTACTCTCAGAGAAGGAAAAATAGCTTTTTGTTGTATTATTTTGTGTTATGTGTTCAATATTTGTTTTAATTATCTACCCTCTGGTGAGATTAAATACATATGAATTCAAAGCTGATACCTACCATAGCTTGCCAAAATACAACCAGATGTTTTCAAAATGTTGATAATTTTTGTTTGTTTGTTTTGGACAATACAATAGTATAATTCCTTCCCCATAAACTTGGAAATGGCTGTTTTCTAGGCATTTTCAGAGTTTAGTCATGTCCCAAAGAGCTGTCAGATTTCTGAACACATTTCTCATTTTTTGTGCACTTATGTCTTACATTGAAATATTTTCCTAATTCATGTCTTTCTGTGGCATTTTTCCAGTGAGTATTAAAAAATGCACATGAGCACAAAATACATTTTTTTAGAGAGCTAACTTAAAACTGATTTTTCAAATAAAAAATTGTACTCTAGTTAATCTAATCAAGGGGAGAGCTTTGAGTAAAAACATGTTTCAGAATTTTGCATTTAGACATGTATACTGTTAGGGAAATATAATTAAAACCAGAGTACAGAAATCATCTCCACAAAGTAGTAGAGAAAGAAAACTCTTTCATTATTGAATAAGCATTAAATCAGAATGTGATGTACACAACAGGCAATCTGCTAAGAGATTGCAGAGGCAGAGAGAATCTCACCCTTTATGTAGCCAAGCAGAATACAACCTCTCATATATGTGTTTTCAGGATACATGTTTGATCCCTGGGTAGGGAAGATCCAACCCAGAGAAGGGAAAAGGGAAAGGGAAAAGCTACCCACTCCAGTGTTCTGGCCTGGAGAATTCCAGGGACTATACAGTCCATGGGGTCGCAAAGAGTTGGACACGACTGAGTGACTTTCACTTTCAGTCCTTAAGTAAGACTTGACAGCACCACTTACCAAACATAATTCATTCTAAAACCTTACGGAGCAATTGGAGTAGCCATCTGTGGTAGCTAATTGGTTTTATCAAGAAGAAAACAAACTTCTCTCTTTATGACAAGAGATAATTTTGCGCCTTAAAGGCTCTACACTCCCACAGTAACTGGGAGGCAGGAGTGTTTCCTCCCTTGATGTTTCCATTTCAAAGAGATTGTTCCCAGGTGTGTGTGTGTGTGTGTTTGTTTTTTAGACTTAAATGATTTTTATTTTTTTAAAAAATACAACATTTAAATAGTTTTCACATCTTACGAACTTGCAATTCTTTTCATAACCTTACAAATTACTGTCATTAATTTCTAGTCAAGAGATGATAAATTTCCAGTTCAGCAACACATAAAATGGAAACAATGCATGTGCCCACAACACAGCAAAGAGGCACAAAACCAGGATCAACAAATACAATGACAGTTTAAAACTTTTCAAAAAAGGCAATAGTATATGAAACCTACTCCATTTCAATTATGAAATTAAAAGCCCAAAGAGGACCATGATCAAACACAGTGATGACTGTTAACACCAAGAGACAGGGGTCCAGAAGAATGCAGTGTATCTCCTGAGGATGCTTGTGTCTGGTCATGTGAGTGACAGTCCCTGGCCTGCTGGCACTCCACCCCAAGTGCTTCACTCACTCACATGCTGTATAGAAACTTCTTAAGATGATCCATTTCCCCTGTATTATTGCCAAATCCACATTCAAAACAGAAAACAGGAAAACTCTGAAGTATGTAACAGCAATTGCTTTCACATCTCAGGGGTGTTATTTCTTAGAACAGGTGGTAGTATGTTCTACCTTGCCATCTTCAAAGTCTTTAAAATGCCATCTCCTGTCATTTTGAAGGAGACATTCTAAAATAATCTAAAAAAGAAAGTCTGTCCACATAAGTTTTCTGAAATTCTGGGGGAGGGGTGTTCAGGATGGGGAACACATGTAAATCCATGGCTGATTCATGTCAATGTATGGCAAAAACCACTACAATATTGTAAAGTAATTAGCCTCCAGCTAATAAAAATAATTGGGGAAAAAAAATATTTGCCTTATCCCTTAGCAACCACAAGTCTGGTTTTCTATGTCTGTGAGTCTAAATTCCTCTTTAAACATTTGGATATAAAAGTTTGACCTCTGGGTCAGTCAGGATCGACCCTAAGGGGAAAGAGATGGCACCCACGGGTTAGGATATTTTGAGGAAACTTTTAATTTTCAAAGGAAATAACTGCCAGGGTGGACCGGGGTTTACAGAACCACAGATGTCCCATCAGCGCAAGGAATCCATCAGCACCTGCGGTGCTAACGATGCCCGAACCTGAAAGGTGGAATCTCAGATACTAATAGAGAGGAAGAAGGAGGAGCGGAACTCGGGGCAGAGAGGCTTCCCTGGCAGTCTAGGGGTTAAGACTTTGAGCTTTCGCAGCAGCGGGTACAGATTCCATCACTGGCTGGGAAATTCTGATCCTATCTGCCTCATGTTCCCAGGTTTTTAAGAAGGATGTTCCTCAGAGAGCTGAGAAAGGCCTCTTTAGTCTTTGAAAGGATGTGTATACATCCTTTCAAAAAAGAAGAGAAAGTACTTGGAAGTTTTCTGAAGTAAGAACTCTGTGAAAAAGGAGGTTAAGGAAAATCTTTTCCTTTATTTTCAACAGCGAGAATTGTCTCTTACTTTTAAATTTGTCCTTATAATATACAGTGCACTTAACCTAATTACTCATTGGTTTTAATAAATATTTTCTGTTTCCAGCTGCTTTTTTAGGACTCACACATTTAGAAGAGTTAGATTTATCAAACAACAGTCTGCAAAACTTTGACTATGGTGTGTTAGAAGACTTGTATTTTTTGAAACTCTTGTGGCTCAGAGAAAACCCTTGGAGATGTGATTACAACATCCACTACCTCTACTACTGGTTAAAGCATCACTACAACGTGCATTATAATGGCCTGGAATGCAAAATGCCTGAAGAATACAAAGGGTGGTTTGTAGGAAAATATGTTCGGAGTTACTATGAAGAATGCCCCAAAGACAAATTACCAGCATACCCTGAAACATTTGACCAAGATATGGAAGATGATGAATGGGAAAAAGTACATAAGGATCACACAGCAAAGAAGCAAAGTGTAAGAATCACTATTGTGGGATAACAGAATTGTTCTTGTTGCAACTAGTTTTGCCTTTGCTATACTAGTGTTGGAAAACTGCATGTTTACATTTTGATTAACTGTATTACTTATTTATGCAGGATTATTCAACTAAAGGAAGGTTCCCTTGATTATTATTGTTGTTGTGACAATACAGTAATCAAAGGAATACTCTTATCCTGCTTGCCTGCCTGTTTGCCGAACAGCTTTTGATGATGATTCCACACTGGTAACCTGCAGAAGTTGGGTCCTAATGATGGCATTAGATTTTCATAATGTCCTGTATAAATCTTTTTACTGCTTTTAGAAAATAAAAAAAAAACTTGGTTCATTTTTACATGCTTTTCAAGAGTTGTGTGCACATACCTAAAGATGATCAAAATGAAGAGATACAAATGATTAGTAATAATAAAATCTTATTCTCTCCCCTCTACCCCCTTTTTTTTTTTTCAGTAAGTCAGCTTATGCACTGAATAAATTTCCATATTTGATTCCTGTGCACTCCAAAATGAGGTCCTGGTAAACCCAAATTCTCCACTACTTTTCACTGATCCTTGCAAAAAAAAAAAAAAAAAGTCAAGCTAAACTGGAAGAATTGTCACATGCAATAAGCCAAGAATCTGAGAATTATATTAGAGACTGGTTAGAAGACCGGACTCTGAGAAGCAGTTGTATGTGGTGTGAATCATGAGCCCTGAACAGGTATAGACACTAGTAAGTGTGGAAACAGCACTGATGTTTTAACAGACTTTAGGCTATGGAGCCGCCTGTTATTGGGAAGGATCTGAGCCCTTCCTGCTAAGCTTATATGTGAAGGAGCATAAAAGAGGATGAAATTAGGATTCAGGGTCAGGATTTGAGATGAAAAAGAAACAAAAAAGAAATTGATATCAAAAGCAACTGAGGGAGCAGGCAGTATGGAAGAGAAGCCCTATGGGGTTGCAGGTTAAAATTAGCTCACCTAGAAAAACAGATCACCGGAAAGAGAGGAAGTATTTGGAGACTAACCCCATCAATTTGTATTTTGATAGTACTATTGTATTAGAAAAATAAAATGAAATATATACATATCATTAAAAATACAACTTTTTAATGCAAATTTCCTTTTTCATATTGAGTTGAATATATTTTCATTTTTTTTTGTTATATTTTCATTTCTTATATCAAGGTATTCGTACAAAGTTTAGCAACTGACCTTTGATACTTGCACAGATTTCCAAAGTATAGAAATGGTAAATAACAAATAGTACTGAACATGCTTTTTTGGCTGTGCCATGTGGCTTATGGGATCTTAGTTCCCTGACCAGAGATTGAACCCAGGCCATGGCAATAACAGTGCCCAGTCCTAACCCCTGGACCACCTGGGAATTCTATTGAGCATTTCTGAAGCACCTACTAGAGCTCAGACACTGTGCTAAGAGCTTCACATATTCTTTTCTAATTCTTACAAGATCCCCCCGAGGTACATAATATTATCTGCCTTTTCTAGATGAGGAATCTGAGGCATAGAGTATATACTTTTTCTCCTGAAACACCTGTGAGGGCAGGAGACAATCTTTGGGTCAAGTCAGTTAAATCTGTACTAATATGTATAGGAAACCAAGAGAGTGGGAAATAGAAAGAATTGCTGGAGCTTGTGGTTCAGGAAATGGCACTGCATTGTAAGATTCTAACCTCTATGCCCTTTTTCCTATGGTTTGGGTCAGGGTGGAAACTTAAGAGACACTGGTTCTCAAAGCAAGTTCTCACATTATTCAATATGAGATATTAAAGGCAGCTGTTAAATTTGAAGTGTTACCAGAGAGATGTAAGAAATGTAATTATTGTTGATGAGCGCTTAGAGTGGAATATTAAAGAAAACATCCAAGATTTGACAGTGGAGAAAGCCCAGGTGGGACCATAGTAGGAGACAAAGGCACACAATGGAGACGTGAAGTTTCTGGAAAGGAGTAAGGATATTAAATCTGATTCAGAGAAAGGACCCAAATTACTCTCTGGTTTAGTTTTTGGAGGCTAGCTGGGAATTTTATTGGTTGATTTTTATATTCAGGATTATCCCCAGGTATCTATTTGGAAATAAAGCTCTGGAACACATTGTGATACAGACTGATCTGGATCATCCAAAAGTAAGTTGTTTAGAATCACTACTATCTTTCATGGCCAGAATTTAAATATGTTTTTAAAAGCTTAAGATTCCTATTTTTCTGTGTCAGAGTTCATACTTTTCTCAGGGAAGCATTGCTGATCAGTGATGGAATGAACAATTAGACAGTTCCTCTCTTGCCAATTTCTTACTTATCATTTAAAAACTTGTCTTTGCAACTTCCTTCTGTTCAATAGGTGATGAAATTCAGGAGTTTTTTAAAAGCATATTTTATAGTAGTCAAAAATAATACAATCCTGAGATCTCCATATGTTTAAATATCACTTGAATTTTTATTCAAATACCCAAGTGTTTGCTTTTTTCAACTAGTTCTAAGATTCTTTGTTTTTTTCTTTTTTTTGAAGTAAATCACATTTACTACAAGCTAAGGTCTCCTGAGTCCTAAGTCTGAGTCAGTTTTGACCTAAATCTTGACTCTTTGAGGAAGATATTTAATATTAAATAGTATGGATTATTCATTTATTAAACTTTCCCTTCCCTGGCGTTTTCACCGTGGATCAATTAATACTCATTTCTGAGAAATCTGAACAAGGCTCCTGCTCTGGCAAATAGAAGCAATTCAGTAATAAGAAACTACTTGGCTAAATTCTGTGAGGTTTGGGGGCTTCTTTCTGCAGGAGGCAGAGTATTTGGTGAGTGGATGGGGAGATGTAATATGTATCAGTCAACAGTGTAACTAATCAGTATAAATGAGAGAATCAGTAATAATAACATGAATATGATAGGCAAACTAGAAAATTACTTCATAAATTCTATTCCAAAAAAAAATTAAGTATTTTATTCTATGAATTCTAGAAACATAAACATGCAACTTTGGGAGTATTTACAAGTCAAGCGTTTGCTGAACTGATCTCATCTTGCCAGTCATTGAGTCAGTGTAGAAAAACTGCAGTCAAGTGGAACCTCTCATCCCTTATGAATCTGTTTTGCTCAGGTTCAAAAATGTAACTGCTGGACTTAAAAATCACTATGTGTAAAAAAAAAAAAAAATCACTATGTGTATCCTTCGCAAATGTATGCTCAAGTGTTTCATCATATACTCTGCATCAGTTCAGTTCAGTCACTCAGTCATGTCCGATTCTTTGCAACCCTACGGACTGTAGCATGCACGGCCTCCCTACCATCACCAACTCCTGGAGTTTACTCAGACTCATGTCCATTGAGTCGGTGATGCCATCCGACCATCTCATCCTCCATTGCCCCCTTCTCCTGCCTTCCATCTTTTCCAGCATCAGGGCCTTTTCAAATGAGTCAGCTCTTCACATCAGGTGGCCAAAGTATTGGAGTTTCAGCTTCAGCATCAGGCCTTCCAGTGAATATTCAGGACTGATTTCCTTGAGAATGGACTGGTTGGATCTCCCTGCTGTTCAAGGGACTCTCAAGAGTCTTTACCAACACCACAGTTCAAAAGCATCAATTCTTTGGCACTCAGCTTTCTTTATAGTCCAATTCTCACATCCATACATGACTACTGGAAAAACCATAGCTTTGACTAAACGGATCTTTGTTGGCAAAGTAATGTCTCTCTTTTTAATAAGCTGCCTAGGTTGATCCTAGCTTTTCTTCCAAGGAGCAAGCATCTTTTAATTTCATGGCTGCAGTCACTATCTGCAGTGACTTTGGAAAGTGAAAGTGAAGTCGCTCAGTCGTATCTGACACTTTGCGACCCCATGGACTTCAGCCTACCAGGTTCCTCCATCCATGGGATTTTCCAGGCAAGAATACTGGAGTGGGTTGCTATGTCCTTCTCCAGGAGATCTTCCCAACCCAGGGATTGAACCTGGGTCTCCCGCATTGTAGGCAGATGCTTTACCGTCTGAGCCACCAGGGAAGTAATTTTGGAGCCCCCCAAAATAAAGTCTCTCACTGTTTCCACTGTTTCCCCATCTATTTGCCATGAAGTGATGGGACCAGATGCCATGATCTTAGTTTTCTGAATGTTGAGTTTTAAGCCAACTTTTTACTTTCCTCTTTCACTTTCATCAAGAGATTCTTTAGTTCTTCTTTGCTTTCTGCCATAAGGGTGGTGTCGTCTGCATGTCTGAGGTTATTGATATTTCTCCCAGCAATCTTGATTCCAACTTGTTCTTCATCCAGCCCAGCGTTTCTCTTTATGTACTCTGCTGCTGCTGCTGCGTCATTTCAGTCGTGTCCGACTTTGTGCGACCCCATAGACGGCAGCCCACCAGGCTCCCCAGTCCCTGGGATTCCCCAGGCAAGAACACTGGAGTGGGTTGCCATTTCCTTCTCCACATGATATACTCTACATATAAGTTAAATAAGCAGGGTGACAATATACAGCCTTGACATACTCCTTTCCCAATTTGGAACCAGTCTGTTGGTCCATGCCCAATTCTAATTGTTGCTTCTTGACCTGCATACAGATTTCTCAGGAGGGAGGTCAGGTGGTCTGGTATTCCCATCTCTTTAAGAATTTTCCACAGTTTGTTGTAATCCACACAGTCAAAGGCTTTGGCATAGTCAATAAAGCAGAAGTAGATGTTTTTCTGGAACTCTCTTGCTTTCTTGATGATCCAGTGGATGTTGGAAATTTGATCTCTGGTTTCTCTGCCTTTTCTAAAACCAGCTTGAACATCTGGAAGTTCATGGTTCACATACTGTTGAAGCCTGGCTTGGATTTCGATCGTTACTTTGCTAGTGGTGAGATGAGTGCAATTGTGTAATAGTTTGAATATTCTTTAGGATTACCTTCCTTTGGGATTGGAATGAAAACTGACCTTTTCCAGTCCTGTGGCCACTGCTAAGTTTTCCAAATTTGCTGGTGTATTGAGTGCAGCACTTTCACAGCATCATCTTTTAGGATTTGAAGTAGCTCAACTGGAATTCCATCACCTCCACTAGCTTTGTTCGTAGTGATGCTTCCTAAGGTCCACTTGACTTCTCATTCCAGGCTCTAGAGTCTGGCTCTAAGTGAGTGATCACACCATCATGATTATCTGGGTCGTGAAGATCTTTTTTGTATAGTTCTTCTGTGTATTCTTGCCACCTCTTCTTAACATCTGTTTCTGTTAGGTCCATACTACTTCTGTCCCTTATTGTGCCCATCTTTGCATGAAAAGTTCCCTTGGTATCTCTAATTTTCTTGAAGATATCACTAGTCTTTCCCAGGCTATTGTTTTCCTCTGTTTCTTTGCACTGATCACTGAGGAAAGCTTTCTTATCTCTCCTTGCTATTCTTTGGAACTCTGCACTCAAATGGGTATGTCTTTCCTTTTCTCCTTTCCGTTTAGTTTCTCTCCTTTCACAGCTGTTTGTAAGGCCTCCTCAGACAACCATTTTGCCTTTTTGCATTTCTTTTTCTCAGGGATGGTTTTTATCACTGCCTCCAGTACAATGTCATAAACCTCCGTCCATAGTTCTTCAGGCACTCTATCAGATCTAATCCCTTGAATCTATTTGTCACTTCCACTGTATAATCTTAAGGGATTTGATTTAGATCATACCTGAATGGTCTAGTGGTTTTCCCTGCTTTTTCTATTTAAGTCTGAATTTGGCAATAAGGAGTTCATGATCTGAGCCACAGTCAGCTTCTGGTCTTTTTTTGCTGACTCTATAGAGCTTCTCCATCTTTGGCTGAAAAGAATATAATCAATCTGATTTCATTACTGACTATCTGGTGATGTCCATGTGTAGAGTCTTCTCTTGTGTTGTTGGAAGAGGGTGTTTGCTGTTTACAAGTCAAGCATTTTCTGAACTGATTTCATCTTGCCAGTCATCAAGTCGCTGTAGAAAAACTGCAGTCAAGTGAAGCCTCTCATCCCTTATGAATCTATTTTGCTCAGGTTCAAAAATTCAACTGTTGGACTTAAAAATCACTATGTGTATCCTTGCCAAATGTATGCTCAAGTTTTTCATCGTATACTCTGGCTACCTATCATAATATTTTAACAGGCATTTCTCAGCCTTGCTCTCATCTGTCTTTTAAACATTTTAAAGAATATGTTAAAGTTAATTTTCTTCTAAAGTTTTTTGTAGATAAGGATTACAAGTACAACTCTTGTGGTTACTCAGCCAAACAGCCTAAAATATCAGCCAATATTTTCCTTCAATTTAACAAAAAGTGAGAAAGTCAAACTTCTCACCAGAAATGTGTATAACTTTAGGCATATCAGTAAATCAACTGACCTCAGCTGGGGGGAAAAAAGAACTGGAAAAGCTGAAACATCTCTGAGATTAGTTTTTTAATCTTTGATAGACTCAAGGTTGTTGAAATGAACAGTGATTTTATTAAATAAGCGATGGCAACCAGACAACCCCCTAAGGCCTGCTGCCAGCAGCCCTGGGAACTGGCCCCATCCTTCAGCTGGTGAACACCAGCCCCAAGACCTGCCAGGCCTCACAGCCAACCCAGTGGGCCAATAACCACTGAACAAGGCAGGGTCTTTCCACCAAACTCACCAGGGACCAGCCATGTCTACCAGACTGCCCACTGTCATTGGCCCTGCCACAACAGAAGGACCCTCGCAGCCCGCACTGAGGACAGCCCTAGAGCATTTAACTCTGGTAACCAGTGGGGAGTATGCTGCTCAGCCCCATAGGACATATCCTACATAAGACCACTTTTGCATGATTGGTAAGTTTTTTACATTTCCTAAACACATAGAAATAAAAACAGAGAATTAGGCTTAATGAGATAGCAGAGGAATATGTTCCAAATGAAGTAACAAGACAGAACTCGGAAGAAGGACTAAGAGAAATAGAAATAAACAATCTATGCAATAAAGAATTCAAGGTAGTGATCATAGAAGTGCTCAAATAATTGGGAGAAGAATGAATGAACACAGTGAGAAGTTTAACAAAGAGTTAGGGGAAAAAAAAACTGAGGAATATCATAACTGAAATAAAAATATACTAGGAGAAATCAACAGTAGATGAGATAATACAGAAGAACAGAACTGGAAGAGTTCACCCAACCTGAAGAGAAAAAAACAATTTCTTTAAGGATACTTTAAGAGACTCCTGGAAAAACATCAAGTGTACTAACATTGGGCTTCCCAGGTGGTACTAATGGTAAAGAATCCACTTGCCGATGCAGGTAGATGTAAGAGATATGGGTTCAGTCCCTGGGTTGGGGAGATCCCCTGGAGGAGGGCACAGCAACCCACTCCAGTATTCTCCAGTATTCTGGAGAATCCATGGACAGAGAGTCAATCAGGCTGTACACCATAGCATTGCACAGAGTCAGTCATGATTGAAGCAACTTAGCACACCTGCATGTACTAACATTTGCATTATAAGAAGAAGAGAGAAAAGTGCAAAAAACTGACATGATAGCTGAAAACTTCCCTAACCTGGGAAAGGAAACAGACATTCACGTCCAGAAAGCACCAAGAATCCCAAACAAGATGAACTCAGAGGTCCATACCAAGACATACTATAATTAAAATGGCAAAAATTTAAAAAGAGAATCTTAAAAGCAGCTAGGGAATAACAACAAGGGAACTAACATAAGACCATCAGCTGACTTTTCAGCAGAAACTCTGCATGCCAGAAGGGAGTGGCATGATGTTTTTAAAATGATAAAGGGAAAAGAATACTCCACAAGGCTACCACTCTGATTCAAAGAAAAGACCAAGAGTTTTAAAGAGGAGCAAAAGCTGAAAGTAACTGGGGTTACAAGAAATGTTAAAGGAACCTCACTAAGTCGAAAAGAAAAGGCTACAACTAGAAATATGAAAATTACAAAAGAAAAAAATTTCATTGGTAAAGGCAGGTATCCAGTAAAGGTAGTATATCAACCACTTACAAAACTAGTAGGAAGATTAAAAGACAAAAGTAGTAAAATCATCTATATCAACAATAAGCAGTTAGGAGAGACACAAAAAGGTATGAACTGTGATGTCAAAAACAGTAAACTTCTCAGATGTATAGAACAGACTTATGGACTCTGTGGGAGAAGGCGAGGGTGGGATGTTTCAAGAGAACAGCATCGAAACATGTATATTATCTAGGGTGAAACAGATCACCAGCCCAGGTTGGATGCATGAGACAAGTGCTCGGGCCTGGTGCACTGGGAAGACCCAGAGGGATCGTGTGAAGAGGGAGGTGGGAGGGGGGACCAGGATGGGGAATACATGTAAATCCATGGCTAATTCATTTCAATGTATGACAAAAACCACTGCAATGTTGTAAAGTAATTAGCCTCCAACTAATAAAAATAAATGGGAAAAAAAAAAACCCAGTAAACTTGAAGGAGAGTAAAAGTGCATTCAAACTTAAGAGAATAGCAACTTAAGCAAATATGTATAAATATTGCTCTACATGCACTTCATGATAACCACAAAACAAAAGTGTAAAACAGGTATACACACACAAAAAAGAGGAAATAAATCCAAGCAAACACTGAAGATAGTTACCAAATCACAAAGAAAAGAGAACAAAAGAAGAAAAAGTAATAAACTGGTTTAAGATGGCAGACTAAGTACCTGTTTCAATTTTCCTTTCCTACCCAAATTACCAGAAACAAATTTTTCTAATCTATCATGTCCTTGGAAAACAACAGGGATCGTCTTGGTGGATCAGAAATTAATAATTCCTAAAAATCCAAATGCAAACATTACCAGATTGAATGAGGAACATTCAGAAGATGGCTGTTGTAAAAGATGGAACAGCATTGTCTTTGTGAAGGGTGTGTCCCAGAAATTAGAATATATAGTAATAGTAACACCATTCTCATTAAAAATACAAGAAAATGATTCAAGAACAAGACAAGATAGCTGCATATCCTTGCTCCCAGAGAAAGAAGTAGAAGATATAAGAATAGGAATGAATGGAAATATTTCCAGATGATATGATAGTCTACCTAGAATACCCAAAAGAATCAACTGACAAACTATTAAAACTAGGAAGTCAGTTTAATATATGATAAGATAAAATGACATTATATATAGAGCCATCACTTTCTGCAGCACCAGCAATAACCAGTCAGAATAACTCCATTTTGTATTTTTCTTTTTTCAATTAAAAAAATACAGATAACTGTTGAAAGCCCTTGTGAACCTATTCCCCATTTCATTCAACTCTCTCCATCTCAGAAGTAACCGCTATCTTGCATTTGGAGTTTTTCATTTGCATGCATGCTTTTTATATTTTGCTGTCTGTGTGTGTGTCTGTATATGTGTACACAAGTGCCCTTAAGTATATAGCATTGAAATTATTTTAAAAAATGAAGTATATAGTATTATTTTACACATTGAAAACTTGTATACAAGTTTATAGATTATATATATATAGAGAGAGAGATTATATATATATCTTTCTGCAACTTGCTTTCACCCATTAATATCTTTATCATTCATATTGATATTTTGAGGTCTATTTTTTCTCTCATTTCCAGAAATATATATATGGAAACTTAAAAATGTACCTCAAAGGACATATGTTTTAATGCAATGGGCTGAATGTTTGTGTCCCCCCAGAATTCATATGTTGGAATCCTCACCCCCAATGTAATGCTATTAGGAGGTTGGGCCTTTGGGACATAATTAAGATGGAATTCTCATGAATAGGATTAATGTCCTTAAAAAGGGGATTTCAGAGAGCTCTCTCTCCTGCTGTCTACCATATGTGGATACAGGAAGAATACAGAAGTCAACAACCAGAACAAGGCCCTCACTAAAACCCAACCAAGACTAGGCGCCCTGGTCTTAGACTTCCAGGCTTTAGAACTATGAGAAATAAGTTTCTGTTGTTTACAAGCCACCCAGCCAAAAGAGAACTTTATTATAGCAGCCTGAACTAAGACAGTTAAACACAAACTTTACAAAGCAAGTTATAAAACTTGGGAATAACCTTAGTGTCCATCAGTAGGAAGAAAGTTAACTAACTTATGGTATAGCCATAGTATGGTATTCCCTAAAATCAGGGAAATGATTTTAAGTACTTAAAAATAATTTAGTAGTTCTATATGTACTGACATGAAAAGATTTTCAGGATATAAAAGAAAATATAGAACAATATTATCCCTTTAATGTTAAAAATTAAAATTGTGTATTTTTAATCACAAATGCTTAAATGTATTTTAGAAAAACAGAAAAAGTGATGCTGTTGAGTACCACTGGGTAAGTGAATGGGTTTGAGAGAAATGAAAGTAGAGTTTTTCTTCTACTGTCTATTGTTATTATTTCTTTAGTGAGAATATGTCCTTATATTGTGGATAAATTGATGGTATATAGATACACAAATGCTAGACAAAAAAAAAATCATTGAGAGTGACCAAAGGACCAGGTCTCAGGTCATATAATCCAGGAAGAGCTGACTGTAGTATAGGACTTTTAAATAGTTTTAATAGGCATTCTCATGGCCTAAGACTGAAATGAAGTTTCCATTTTAAAATACAGGGAAGCAAGACAAACAGTTAATAAACATACTTACTGACAGATCTCAAAGTTTTCAATCGGAGAACACAACCACGAAAATTCAAGCGCAGCACGTTTAGACGCCACCTTTGCAAAATAGACACTATATATTTATCTGTGATTATATTTCTTACTGCAGAAAAATCAATCTAAAAAGGATAAATAAAAATGTTAAGAAATGAGAAAGATCTTTGGCATGTGAAATTTTAAAATATTTTTAAAGCATCAAAGAACTAAAATTTCTTTATCTCATCACTCTTTTTTGTTTGTTAGGGTTTTTGTGGTCATTCCCAGGTTTAATTACAAGCAGATTCCAAATGTCCAGTCCAGGTTGACAGCTGGGAGGGCAGGGATCTCACATTCACCCCCACAAGAGTCAATTTGTCGTGGAGTGTCTGGATGCCCACCCCTCCTTCATTCCAGGTGAGCCCCAAGGCATCCCCCTACTTCAATGTCAATGGACCCTTCTGCACTCATCACTAATGTGTGCCTGCTTCTTTTTTCATGAGCACAAACTATACATTGAGTGCTTGACTCTGGAAAGACAATATAGTATGTGGATTATAATGGCTTTTCCATAACTCATAATTTTGTGGGGGTAGTTCTAGAGATAAGGAAAGATGATCTGAGTGCAGTGTATAAAACTAAAAAGCACAGAATCTTCTGGAACCTCTGAATGGCCAGGGCTGGTGGATAAAAAACAACACAGTATTTTTTTATTGAAGTATAGTTGATAACAGTAGCATAGTGTTAAAATACTACTTTTCAGCTAAAAGGTTAAGTGTACTGAACATCCTATTTCTTATTGCTTTCTGAACAAAGTTATTCTTCATGCTAAAAGGTTTATTACAGTTGTGTTACATTTGAGCACTCACAAATAAAGACAGACATAATTGCAAATGAAGGGCAACAGATAATTGTGGAAAGAGAAATTTGCTGAACATAAACTAACTTCCTATTCTGGCTTTACTCTTCACTGCCAGGTGCTCATATTTTCTCCACCTTTACCCAGTGAGGTCTCTGGGCAGGAGTACTGGCTTTTTCTGCCAGTTTTCTGTAAGATTTGTCCTGATTTAATATGGTACATATTCCTTCTTTCCCAGACCATTTGGATTCAGTTTATTTCTTCCTTATGGGTTTTCCAAATTAAAAAGTGACACCCCCTAATCTGTCACATAAGTTAGAGATTTATTATTTTAAATCAGTGGTTCTTAGTGTGGTCCAGAGACAAGCAGCCTCAGCATCACCCAGGAACTAACTGGAAATGCAAATTCTCAAGCCCTTCCTCAAAAGTACTGAGTCAGAAACTCTGGAGGTGGCAACCAGCAATCTAACAATCCCTTCCAATGATTCTGATGCATTCTCAAGTTTAAGAATCCCTGCCTTCAACTAAAAATTACATCTAAGACAAAAATACTAAATTTAGTAGCTAAGAGGTGTTAATTAAGACGAGCACATTTTTAAAAATTATCATTGCTACATAAGGTAAGAGTAGAACACTATAGTCAAGAATGGAACGGTGCTCTGATGGGATGTAAAGATGCTGAGTTGATTATGGAGCTAGATTCCTTGTACCTTGCCAACTCCTCTTGGGTTCTTTGTCAAAGTTTCTGCAGAATGACCCCAATCACCTATTCATAGATCAGTCTGAGCACATGATATCATTAGTCCTCTAATCAATAGCAATTAAGGAGGAGTGGTAAAGTCAGCTATTGACTGGACATAGGCAACAAGGAAAATGTTGCCACTCCAACATTTGTTGATGGCATAAATGATCAGTTATTAAGATTAAAGCAGTCATCCAAGAAAAAGAAAAAGAAAGGTCATCAAGGATAATACATGCTTATTTTTATCACTGGCTAAGACCTACCACTCAATGTTTCTTTGGAATGAAAAATAAAGCATGTTCTATTTTATGCGAATAGTATAAATATAGTGCAATGACAAGAATAATAAAAGAGACATGAGCCTGGGAGTCCACATTAGAAAATGCCTGAGTGTGTATATGTGGATGTGCATGCAAACACACCAAGACTTATCAAACAAGCTTTGTTTACATGTTGTCTATTTTAGCCTGATTTCAAGCTCAGTAGTTTTTTTCTTCTTCTCTTTTACTCCATATTTTGTGCTGCTTTGTTGTGTTTTTTTGAACTAAGAACAGTAGCTAATATTTATTGAGTGCAGCCCACATGTCAGATTCTACAGTAAGCACCTTTCTTGCATTTTGCTTGGTTTATCTCTGGAGCTCCTTGAGTAAGGCAATGTTAAGCCTAACTCAGATATAATAGAGCTTTATTTAAATCCAAAAAATAATATTCAATTTATTTCTACTATTTAAATTAGAAAATACTTCTATAAAATCTCTTCAAATAACATTTTTTATCTTTTCCTTCAGACTGTGCCTGGACAAAAGTTAAACAAGCGTACCTCCTTTTTGTGATCCCATGTTGTGGAGCAGGGAAGAAGGTAGTCCCCATTACTGCTATAAGGTGGCCTTATAGCAGTCTCTTCTCCTTTAAGAACTAGAATAAAGACATTGCTTCAGGTAGTGTCTACTTACACCATTCCACAATGAGCCCATTTGTGTCATCAACAACCAGGAGCGATTAACTTGACCACATATGATCACATCTCTTAAACTGAGGTAGGAGAAAATCTAAACACAAAGAAAAATAATACACAATTTTGAAAAACGTGAATTTTTATCTAACTCTTCCATTTTCCATTTGTGTGAGTGTGTGTGTGTTAATAAGGGTAATGCAGTCCATATATTGTCGTAGCAGGGGTTTATGTGCTTGCATTTTATCTAAAGATAGAAATTTCATCTAGAATTCTAGAACTTATTTGATGATGCCTTTGATATAGTGTGACCAAATTGATAGTTGCAGAAGGATGGTAAAGAAGATAGGTAGATTTATTTTGTTTTCTGAATGAAAGTAGCATTCTGCTAGAAAGTGAATGATTTCCCTAAATGAAGGCATTCAATAATCATTTGATGAAATGAACTGGGTTCTTTTTAAAGTTACAGGATTCCTGGGAATATACTTAAAATGTATGTTGTAGTGAGTTGATATATGTATACATTATGAAAGGATTCCTCCATCTAGTTAAACACATCCAACACTCACATATTTATCTTTATTTTAATTAATTCATTTTTATGAGAACATTTAAGTTCTATTCTGTTAGCAGATTTCAATTTTACAACATAGTGTTATCAACCATAGTCACCATGTATCACTTTAGATTCTCAGACCTTATTCATATTATAGCTAAATGTTTATACCCTTTTTCTGAACTATGAGTTACATAGCAGAAGAAACCCAGCTGATGCAAGAAAGAGCAAACTGGATCATGTAAGATAAAATTACACAGGGTAAGGCACAGAGGTAGAAAGAGATGGAAAATATGAAGGAAGTTAAGAGCACATTATATAACATGAAAAGGTTATAGATAACATTATACAACATTCTATATATGCCCTTATAGAATTTCCAGAAGAAAGGAAGAGAACAAATGGAAATCAAAGCAAAACTCAAAAATATTACAAATAAAAATGCTTTAGAATGATGAAAAGCAACAATTATCAGATTTAAGAAACACAAGAAATCCCAAACAGGATACTTATCCCATGGCTTTGTAGTGAAATTACAAAAGGCCATAAGCAAAGGAAAACCTTAAGTGGAACCAGAGACAGATTATCTACAAAAGAATGTCACTTAGCAGTCTCAGAAAGCAAAAGTCAGCAGAAAATACTTATCAATCTCAGGTACCACATGGAAGTAAATTACAACTCAAGGATGAGTATTAAGTAGACACTCTATGACGAAGATTTAGAGAGTTTGCCTTCAATGGACCCATCACAAAAGAACTTGTAAATGATGTTTATGTAAGAAGAAAGGAGTGAGATGAAATAGTAATGAGGGGCAAAGAAACTAATAAGCATAGGAGTAAACCCAATAACCTTATAAAAGCATATAATGATGATGATTAATGTGAGGGGTACAAAAAGCAAGGGATAAAACCACTAGAAAATACTAATATTCTAAGACTGGAGAGAGTAATCAGAGTTAAAATGTTCTAAATTCTGGTAATTATTCAGGAAGAAAGTTTAGATATTCATTTACTTTAAGCTTTATTAAGATAAATGTACATGTTAAAAATATTTAAGTGAAACCGTTGAAATAGAAGAAATAGAATGGATATCTTCTAAAATATAAAAATGGGGGAAGGGAATAGCTTTTTAAATTCAACAAATAAAGTCAGGAAAGGACAAATCAAGGAAGCACATAAAAAACAAATAGTATAAAATGAAATGAAAAACTGAATCTAAGTATATCTAGTAATAATAAATTTCACAAAATTCACCGGTGGGAAGACAAAGATTACCCCTAATAATGGTTTTGCTTTTAAGTTTTACCTTCTGATATTAATATAGCTATCAAAAATCTCCTTTCAGTTGTGTTCGTCTTGTTCAGCATTGTACTTTAGGTGGATTTTTAAAGTTTATCTGATAAAGAAGGTCACTACATTATAATTAAAGAAAGTAACTCTAACAGTCTACTAAGGATATAAAACAATTCTAAATGTGTAAGCATCTGAAAACATAGCCACAAGGATACAAGGAGAAATTGACAAATCGACAATCATGATGAAAGGTTATATCAGAACTCTCAATTGTTGATAAATCATTCTGAGGAAATAATCTTTCCTGGATTCTTCAGTGCTCCTGCAAAAACCTCTAGTTTCCAGAGACACAGAAATCTGTATGACATAAAGGTAATGTTTTATCTGTACTTCCTCTATAAACACTTTACTTTCCTGTGAACTATAGAGATTAGATCTGTAGCTATCTGTCTAGTTAATTCTCTGATCCAAAAGGATGATAAAAGTTTTCTTTTCTCCCCAAGAATGTCAAATGGGTATAATTCAGCCTACTTTCCTAGGTCAAGCTCCCAAGATGTCAGGAAGATCCTTACTAATTTAAATTCAAAGAGATATGGGTCCCAGGACCTTGGCAACATCTCTATGTCATAAAAATCAGCAATACTGATTCTTATCTGGCCCTTGGAGAGATGTATTTAAGCCCTGCCTCCCTGATAGGTCACTTGGTAAAGAATCCACCTGTAATGCAAGAGACCCCAGTTCAATCCCTGGGTCAGGAAGATCTGCTGGAGAAGGGATAGGCTACCCACTCTAGTATTCCTGGGCTTCCCTTGTGGCTCAACTGGTAAAGAACCACCTGCAATGTGGGAGACCTGAGTTCAGTCCCTGGTTGGGAAGATCCCCTGAAGAAGGGAAAGGCTACCCACTCCAGTATTCTGGCCTGGAGAATTCCATGGACTGTATAGTCCACGGGGTTACAAAGAGTCTGACACAGCTGAACAACTTTCATTAACTAACTCCCTCTTTTATTTACAAGGACCTTGTTACTACATTGGATCCACCCAGATAAGCAAGGATAATCTCACCATCTCAAGATCTTTAACTTACTCACACCTCCTAAGACTCTTGCCTTGTATTCACAGGTTCTGAGGCTTTGGTGGGGTATGGGGTGGGGTGGGGGAGCAATTATTATTCTGCCTATCATACTATGTAAGGAAATGAAGGTGAAAGTGAATTTCCCCTAAAGTCAGGAACACGACAAGGGTGCCCACTCTCACCACTACTATTCAACATAGTTTTGGAAGTTTTAGTCACAGCAATCAGAGAAGAAAAAGAAAGAAAAGGAATCTAGATTGGAAAAGAAGTAAAACTCTCTTTGTTTGCAGATGACATGATCCTCTACATAGAAAACCCTAAAGACACCACCAGAAAATTACTAGAGCTAATTAATATAGTAAGGTGGCAGGATATAACATTGATACACAGAAATCCCTTGCATTCCTATACACTAACAATGAGAAAACAGAGAAATTAAGGAAACAATCCCATTCACCATTGTGACAAGAAGAATAAAATACTTAGGAATAAATTTACCTAAAAAAAACAAAAGACCTATATGTAGAAAACTATAGAACACTCATGAAAGAAATCAAAGATTACAAAAATAGATGGAGAAATATACCGTGTTCATGGATCAGAAGAATCAATATAGTGAAAATGAGTATACTACCCAAAGCAATCTATAGATACAATGAAATCCCTATCAAGCTACCAATGGTATTTTTCACAAAAATAGAACAAATAAGTTCACAATTTGTATAGAAATGCAAAAAACCTTGAATAGCCAAAGCAGTCTTGAGAAGAAGAATGGAACTGGAGGAATCAACCTGCCTGACTTCCAACTATACTACAAAGCTACAGTCATCAAGACAATATGGTACTGGCACAAAGACAGAAATCTAGGTCAATAAAACAGAATAGAAAGACCAGAGATAAATCCACACACCTATAGACACCTTATCTTTGACAAAGGTGGCAAAAAATAAACAATGGAGAAAAGACAATCTCTTTAACAAGTGATGCTGGGAAAACTGGTCAGCCACTTGCAAAAGAATGCAGCTAAAACACTTTCTAACACCATACACAAAAATAAAATGGATTAAAGATCTAAATGTAAGACCAGAAGCTATAAAACTCTTAGAGGAAAACATAGGCAGAACTCTCTCTGACATAAATCACATCAAGATCCTCTATGACACACCTCCCAGAGTAATGGAAATTAAATAAAAAAATAAACAAATGAGACCTAATTAAACTTAAAAGCTTTTGCACAACAAAAGAAACTATAAGCGAGGTGAAAAGACAGCCTTCAGAATGTGAGAAAATAATAGCAAACAAAGCAACTGACAAAGAATTAATCTCAAAAATATACAAGCAGCTCCTGCAGCTCAATACCAGAAAAATAAACAATCCAATCAAAAAATGGGCCAAAGAACTACACAGACATTTCTCCAAAGAAGACTTACAGATAGCTAACAAGCACATGAAAAGATGCTCAACATCACTCATTATCAGAGAAATACAAATCAAAACCACAATGAGGTATCATCTCACACCAGTCAGAATGGCTGCTATCAAAATGTCTACAAACAATAATTGCTGGAGAGGGTGCAGAGAAAAGGGAACCCTCTTACACTATTGGTGGGAACGCAATCTAGTACAGCCACTATGGAGAACAGTGTGGAGATTCCTTAAAAAACTGGAAATAGAACTGCCATACAACCTAGCAATCCCACTGCTGGGCATGCACACCAAGGAAACCAGAATTGAAAGAGACACATGTACCACAATGTTCATCACAGCACTGTTTACAATAGCTAGAACATGGAAGAACAGTGTGGAGATTCCTTAAAAAACTGGAAATAGAACTGCCATACAACCTAGCAATCCCACTGCTGGGCATGCACACCAAGGAAACCAGAATTGAAAGAGACACATGTACCACAATGTTCATCACAGCACTGTTTACAATAGCTAGAACATGGAAGCAACCTAGATGTCCATTGGCAGATGAATGGATAAGAAAGTTGTGGTACATATACACAGTGGAATATTACTCAGCTATTAAAAATGCATTAGAATCAGGTAAGGTGGATGAAACTGGAGCCTGTTATATAGAGTGAAGTAAGTCAGAAAGAAAAACACCAATACAGTATATCAATGCATATATATGAAATTTAGAGAGATGGTAATGATGACCCTATATACGAG